TATACAGGGTGTGTTTCGCACAACGTCATCTTCAAAACGGTTAAAGATGGAAATAAATTTTATTAGACAAAGGACAATGGTAAAAATTGGCCAATCAGAAACATTTTTATCTTAATAAAAATTTCTAAAATTTCTAATAAAAGTTAAAATTAGAATTATATTTTTGTTCGTTGTCTATTATTCGAAGTAAATTTTTAAACATACATATAGCTGTACCCAATTGCACGAAACATCCTGCATAGTGATACAAATGAAACGTAAATAATTTAATTTTCTAAATTACAAAAAAAGATATTTCACACGCCTCTTATTTCAAGATTTGAATAAACGAGACTCTGTTCTTGTTGCTTTCATTTTCAATCTTCCGCATTGTTGTTCCAGATGCGTGAGGGAACGACGCTTCTTTTCTTTATTCTACTCCTTCAAACGACGCATTATATCGCTTTCGAATTCTTGGGTGCTCGATGGTATTTGGACGCAGCTGTTACCGGACATGAAAGCGACGCATATGCTCTAACGAGCCGACGAGAGATGCGATGTAAGAAGAACGCTTCCACCGATCCATAATATCTATCGAAATATCTTGATATACGAAACGTTCTCGACGTTGCTTTACGCGACTTCAAACCGCACGCTTTACGACGTCACGTGGCAAGAAATAATCTTTTATCCTTTATTCGTATAAATTAATTGACTATATCGAATGTCTTAATTTGTTATAGTATTTACTTCCGTAACGTCGTTGAAATTCATAAATTTTGACCCAAGATTTATTTTGCTCAACATCTAAGCTCGAACCTTAATTTGTTTACTTTAAGGGGTGGAAATTAACCCACAAATGTTCGGCTATTATTGATTTTATTGTTACAATTCACAAACTATGCGAGACAAAAAAAAATTATCACACGAAAATTACTCCTTCAAACATCTACTGAGTCAAATTCAACTGAATTGTTCTTATTATTCGAAGTATACAGGGTGTTCGGCCACCCCTGGGAAAAATTTTAATGGGAGATTCTAGAGGCCAAAATAAGACGAAAATCAAGAATATCAATTTGTTGATAGAGGCTTTGTTAAAAGTTATTAACAAAATTAAATTAAAAAATTTCAAATCGTTCTGGAAAAATTATTTTCGGTTGCGGGGGTCAATTACAATCATTTTGGGTGAATACCCCTACCTACGAAATCCTACTTATTTTCGAGAAAAAAATTCATTACTGAAAATATAATGTCTGACCATAACTGTATGGTTACCGTGAAAAAAAAATTTCGAATCGTTCCGAAAAAATTATTTTCAGTTCCGGGGTCAATTACAATAATTTTTGGTGAATACACATACCCCCGAAATTCTACGCACTTTCTAGAAAAACATTCGAGAAGGTGTGAAATTTTTCAACAAAATTAAAAAATTTCAAATCGTTCTAAAAAAATTATTTTTGGTTGTAGAGGTCAATTACAATCATTTTTGGTCAATAGACATACCCCCGAAATCCTGCACATTTTAGAGAAGAAAATTCAGTACGAGTGGAACTTTAAACTTTAATAACTTCTTGACGAAGTCTCCATCAACAAATTGGTATTCTTGATTTTCGTCTTATTTTGGCCTCTAGAAACTCCCATTAAAATTTTTCCCAGGGGTGACCGATTTTGTGTGGAAATATTTCATTTTATATCGAAATATTACATTTTGCAATATTTCATTTTTTCATCGAATACGATCAAAAAAGGCAAGAGAAGTTAGAACAATATTGTACCCCAATTAATTTCGTTACTATTCTAGATACAAATTTTGTTGCAATTGCAATTGTAATCTATTATAAATATAAACTCTACTGTTCCTAAACACTGTGAAATTTTGCATTACTCACTTTTTCAAAAACTGTAGAAAAATATCTATAAAAAATATATATATTTGTGGTTTATTATCGTCATAAAATAATTCGAAGTACTGATAGTAAACTATTAGTAAACATTACATAGAGAATTAAAACATTCGAAAAATCACACGAAAATAAATATTTGCGTCATACATATGTAAACAAAATCAAAATTTGATTGGATAATTACAAACATGTAAAAAAAAAAAAATGCGATTAAAAGGACGTGAGTTTAATTTTGTGAAACCATTTACAATAAAAAGAAAATAAAAAAAGCAAATTTACAACGTTGAGGCGCGTGTCGTGTACAACCGGAAACGAGACTGTTATTAATTCAAATGAAACGGATTGGCGGTAACTATATGATGGCGTACGTGCATTCTGCCCATGCAATTTACTGCACCGCGCGTTTAATGCGTCGATTCCTTGTAACGAGCACATAATTACTGTGACACTGAAACGTGCAATTAGAAGCAATCAAAGAGTAAAAAGTGATAATTCACGCAGACGCGTAAGTAACATGTTAATTTGCAAAAGGGAACTTTTAATTCTTGATACCATACAGTGTTAAGATTCCTTCCAATAATTAATATTAAACTATCGTTATGAAAGCTGGAAAATTAATGTGACACAAAATCCGATCAATATATTAATATTTTCTTATACGAAAAGTTAAATATAAATTCATAACACCGCAAATTTCAATAAGGCAATACACATTTCAACATTTTTTAGAGAAACATAAAACATTTAGTATAGAAATATCAAGCATATTGAGGTGCACTCACACCGACATGTAAGAAAAGGTAATGGAGCTACAAGAGCAATGAAACATGTTTTTACGAGCGTAAATAAGAAAAGAAACAAATGTTTAACTCCTAAAGTGCCAAAGCAGTAGCAGACGGTTAGGGTTCAGAAATCATGTTCGGCCGTAAGAAAGTACTTAAACCTAAATAAACACCCGTCAGTGGTCAAATATTTGCACAACGTTTATTGTATAATTTTTCAATGCGAACATTTAATTTTACTACTACCCTCTGTATTATTCTCTTATCAAACATTCATCTATAAATTAATATCAAAACTTGGTCGCATTTTTAAACAAATTTGCTTCAAATGGAACACTATTCTTAATAAGCACTCTTTATAAAATACATGAAACCAGAAGTATACTAAATTTTAAAGATATAGTTCATCCTGGTTATGTGGGACACTCTGTACATAACTTCCTGTTCAAAAGTTTAGAGCACCCTCAAATTTTTGAAATAAATTAACCCTTTCTTTGTTCTTATACAAACGTTTAACTGAAAATATTATCCTTGCAATATGCAAAATTAATATAATTGGGAATTGCTTTAATATAATTTGAAATGAAAATTATGATTGTATTTTTAATAAATCTAACAACGAAGTGCAAAGGCTTCATTTCTTTGCAAAATAGCTAAATATGCAAATTTAATTTAAATATTTCTACTAACTAAAAAAAAGCCATTAATTAATTAATTGAAAATAAAAAATAAAATTAGTACTTTTCGTATTTTTTTTTGAAAAGAACAATCTGTAAACTTTTCATATTTTTGTAAAGAGTATTTACGAAATGTGTTATAGTTTGGGAAAGGCCACCATTAACACGAACATATTTGATGTAGTTACTATTACTTTAATAATGCCTTAATACTACATAGTGTAACTTTACGAAAATAAAAAAAGGCCATGTTTCACCATCGTGTACTACGAACATTCTAGCGTCGCGCGGGGAAGTCCCATTCGGATAAGTCTAATAGATGGCGACACTGCATTCCTCAACAAAATGTAATTCTTATTTTATATCATACCTGAGTAATATTCTCCTGACACGAAAGATTAGAATTTTTAATGAAAGAAGTAATGCGTATAAAACAGCTTTATTTCCATAATGATTGACGGGATGCTCCAAAGTTTTGAGCAGCAATGCATATACAGGGTGTTCAGTTACTGGTTACGAAATTTTAATGGATAATTTTATATGCCAAAATAAAACAGTCAAGAATGACGAAATTACGTTTGAGTTATCAATTGCTGAAAATATATGACAAAATTAAAATTTTCTTTATTAGACAAATTTTTGCCAAGTTGACGCGAAGTAATAAAATAAAGTTGTTATTTTCATTATTATTTGCTGCATCTTCATGCTTACTTTGATAATGACCGAAATTATTTTTCTTACGGTAATAGAAAAAGTAACACTGTTCTAATAAAAAAACAACAACCGATGGAGAACAATTAATTGGTTAAAAATACAGTGGAATTATTTTCTATAAAATATTTTATAAAATTTCGATAAATAGTGAAGAGGAATTTCGAGCTTTAGATCTTTCGCCAAGAAGGGAGACCAAAATTATTCCATTATTACGGTTGTCTCCATTATTTACTACTTCCAAGGCGAATGACAATAAAAAAGCATAAAAATTTAATAGATGTAACCTACATTCCACCAATTATAAATGCAAAAAATTTTACAGTTGAAGAAGAAAGTGAATAAAATTCATTAAAAAAATAATTACAAAGTTACAATCATAAAATAAAATACATTATTTTTCTGTAATCGTAAATCACCAACTGAAATATACTATTCATGTAGAAATACAGACATTCGTGCAAATTATTCACAAAATATAATAATCCTAAATTAACAAAATATTTAACTTTAATCATGATGAAAAAATATTTTATAATACGGTCAAACGTAAAGTCGGACCACTTTTTTGCTATTTTTGCTACTTTATATTTAAAAAAAATAGTATTCCATTTTTTGCGATAACAATACCTTTTGTACAGATCGAAAAATAAAAAAGACCTCGTACACGCTATCTCGTCGTTCTTGATTTCCGTCTCATTTCAACACGCAGAATCAGCCCTCAAAATTGCGTACACCCAGTAGCCGATCACCCTGTACGTATTTACGTTTAATTATTTGCTACTTTAGTTCAGTATTTTTACGCAGACGTCACAGTCGTTCCGAGTATCGGTGAAAACGTATCACCGCAAGAAACACATTTAACGCGCGCACATACCGGTCCGGCACCGAAAGAGTTAATTATGACAAAGATGGTATCCCCGCGGACGAGCGGAGTTGTTTACTACCTGTCAGTCATCGGCGTATTAAACCGGCGTCGTGTCGGGCAATAAACCGACGAAGAAAGAAGACACGGGTTAGAGAAGTGCACCGGATCGTCGGTAGGCGTTAATAGGGAACCAGAAGCTGTTTTTCTTTCTCCCTTTCATCGCTGGCCCGACACGAGATAGTCGAACTGTCAGTCAAACGTTCGATAACCAATGGTCGACGATCCCTACTACCACGGCGCGCCGAGGAAGAATCATTTTCATGCGAAGAGGGCGTAGCAAAAACTACAAGAGACCACCGCTGCCGACGGCGCCGATGCCTGACTGCTGCGCGACCTATAGGGTGCTCGATAAAATTTCTGCGGGAAATTCGAGTTCGTCTCGCCGCTTCTTTCGGACCGCGTATTATACGATGACGCACCGTGACAATAATTATTCCGTGCGCCGAAGACATTGAACACGATCGAATGCATCATTTAGAATTAATGGATAATTATTCTGGCATTTTGTAAAAGAGAACATGTTTTAAAGGACATTTGTAAAACAAAACGATTTTGCGCATGCGTGTGACAATATATGGAGAAAATGTAGAAGCATGGACGTTTTACTAATTTATTTTCTGAACGCTGTTTTAATTCGTATTAGAAATTATATCTAACTACTGGTACAAATATTCTTCCAGTTTTACGTTTTTCTGCATATCGAATTAAACTTAAAAAAAAAAAAATTTACCAAAAAAAAAAGAATATACTAAATCTATATATTTCCGTCCAAAAGTAAAATTTCTCACTCGATACTTGTACTAATTTGTTCCTTCCAGTACACTGTATAATAAAACGACACTTCGTTGCGGCATTTTTGTCGTTCCTTCTTTCACAACAAATTCTCTGAACGATTTTAACCGGTTTTCCTGATCGATTGTATGCACGACGTATAACGCTTGCGTTGTTAAATTTTCCATTTATCATTTGACACAATTCGTTTATTACGAATTATTTTATTTTGGCTAGAATTATAAATACAAAGTAGATCAATTTTCAAAATACATATGTATTAACACTTTAACTGCTATGGTGGTCATTGATGCCTGGGCACTTCAGACATACAATGTGTCTTTGAAACAAATAATAAATGACAAATACTGTAAAATAACAAGTACTCCATTGGACCATTAAATATTTCTATTTGTTACGCTATAGTTTGAACAAATATGGAGGATATCCCCAGGGAAACTGGTATAGCAGTCATAATAAATCATATTTATTGTTTATTCTAGAAAACTTCATTCCGATTCAAATAACCTGGTCAACCTTTTTAAATTTATTTACAAAATAAATATTAAAGGGGCATAATTGATATATAAAAAAAATTAAACAAAACACTTCCTAATTAAAATATTTCGTCAGTCTTTACGCGATGTATAATGCTAATAACAAAAATGAGGATATTGGTACTTGGTAATAGTAATAGTAGTAAGTAAAGTCTCATCAAATCAAGTAGAAGTATTTAGTACTGACGATAACGTTACAACCTGTATTATCTACCTGTAGAGCAACGAAGGATTAGTTAGCATACGTCATTTTCTCTGCGTATGGAACGAGTTCACTTGCGGATTGTTTTCATTGAATAAAACAATACGTATATATTATAATTATGCGCAAGAAAAAACTATGATAAATACCGTACAATTATTTTATATCAATTTTTATCATACTTTACTTCATAAACATAAAATATTTACTGTAATTTCGTAATATTTAGCTTTGAAAGTAATTTATCATTATTGCAATAACTGATACAACAGAGTTCCGTGCGTACAGCAAAATATATGTTTGATTAATTCGTAATATTTAAGAAGAAACCATGCATGCAATAAGTGATTTATTCAATTTAAGAAATTCGTAATATTCTATACAAATCTCATTTTTTAAATAAGATTCTTTAATATAAAAATAGTCTTTACTAAAACATAAGTATACATATATCTCGTTTAATTTCGTATTTTAAAGCTACAACAGGATAAAGAAAACGATACTGTTATACATTGATTATGTTACTTTGAGGATACAATGTATGGTGAAAGAAGTAAATTTCAGACATGCAGCAAAAATCTTTCGTACCCTGCCAAACGTCATTTCTGGATTTTTTGACTATATTATAAACATAACGAAATTAGAATTTCAATCGTATAACGCGGTTTCAAATTAAATTATCATCCGAGAAATATAGGCGGGTATACGGCGTTGTCAACATCGGAGAAAAAATTATTATTGTTTTAAAATAATGAAGCAATTAGGAGAAGATTTATTCGCGACGTAAGATAAAACAGACGAGTGGTATATCAAGGAAAAAGTAGATGACGGTGAACTATGGTCGCGTGGTACGCGTGATGTCACCCAAAAAAGTTGCTTTCTGGAAGACCCTTGACAATATCGATCATATCAATCCGCAATTCTGTCAAGGCAGACCGCGAGAAATGGGCGTTCACTGGGGGTATTGCGCACAAAACAAGTTTTTCGCGTGTATCGGCGCACAAGGAACGAACAAACGAACCTAACCTCACAAATTCGCAAGTGCATAGCCCAGCGGAGGTTAACCGATCAAATATGATGTACGAAAACAGCTGTCTCTGTGCCACCGTATCGGGAAATACTATTCTTCGTTAACTTACCGTACCGCGAGGCCAGTTCCGACAAATCCCACAGAAACAAAACAACACCGTCCACTAGTTTTATTTTTCAAAGATATTTTGGTCGGCGTGTCCGACTCGTCCGAAATAGAAATGTCTTTTTCGTCCACGTGATATCCCGAAACCCGACGATAATCATGTACCGACACCGGTACTATTATCCACTAACGTGGTCAACACAAACGCGTCTGTTTACCACTATTCACGTCGCACGATAAATTAAAGCAATCGGACATTTTTCAACATGCTCCTCCACAATCCCGTCTACTCCTTCCACTGACACGTCTTTTGTGACGTCATCGATTCAATACTTTTAGTGAAGGTTTCTCCTTCGTTGATATTTTGAATCTCCCGTAGATGGCGGCATACACGCGATTCTATGTCCATTCAAGCATCGTTCGATCGACGCGGGATATTTAAATTCATTCAGAAGAAAAAATGTAAATCGGAAGAAAAAATTTGTTATAAAAGATATGAATTTTAGAAAAATAATCCCTACGAAAGAACATCTTGAAATAGCATTGAGATTTTCTAGCAACATGGGAGTTCTATCACACCCTCATGTATTTCTTCAAAATTTTGTACAAGCAATTTCAAGAATTATTCCAGAAGTATGCGGAGCTCTCATTAATGTACTTCAATGTTATGTAAAAGTATTACTTTTACTCTTTACCATAAGATCTTACTTTATGTATAAGTGAGTTGGTACATACTTGGGAGATAAAAATTGGTTTTCTTTTGCATCATTTGTATTCTCAAAAGACACTTGTGCGATAGAAATTTGATCTTTTTCAAAAATATTCTCTTCCTCTAACAATGAGCTATTAATTTTCAAATAAGTTAATATTTGATAATTTATTTTTCTAGATGCCTCAGAATGAGCATGAAAACTTGTGGCAAAAGATGTTAACTCGCAGAGGAATTTCTCTAATTGTGTGGTAGCAATGGGCAAGAAAGTTTAAAAATGTTAGTGTTTTAAAAGCCAATGTTGCAACTTAATACAGCAATCAAAGTAGTATTAGCAATTATTTAAAGTGCATCAAGGAATATTTATAACCTTCCAGGAACATTTGATAGTGAATGATCGGATACTGGAAATTGAATACCTGTTGCCTGGATGGTAGAATTACAAGAATTATAGCTTTGGCAAATTTTACACCAATAGCTTGCAAAAGTTCAGAGGATGCACAAGAAGTGAGAGAAGAATTCAAAAACTATTTTCCACTGATAGAAGAAGCTGCTTGACAACATGAAAAATCTTAATTTATAATATTTATAATTTCTCACCATTTATGTCATAACAATAAGATAATAATGAAATGTGAATATAAAGAATGTATTTTTATTACTTACCTTACCTTCCATATCAATTGTCCTTCTAGCCTTACTTTCAGTTTTTAACACTTGTAAGTACATCACTTTTATAAATATTTCGGTACCAGTACCTGATTTTATACTTTCTTTTTCTTTCATTATTTCTCTTGAGAAATTACTTATTAAATTTTTTATTTTTATTTCGATTTCTCAGCTTGCTTCGTCAAAAGCGACTGCGACCTCCATTATTGCATCGTGCTTCTTATTTTTATTTTTATAATTTTTATGTTGACAAACCCATATCTTGGGACGATCATAATAGATCTGTATTAATTGAACAATTTTATCATTTGTCCAGATGGTTTCCATTCTAACAGAGATTATATTCATTCGGTAGTCTTGATGTAATTGTAATTCCTCATTCCTTTGGCTTAGAATATCGCTTGTTCTCTGGGCAATACAGCAGCAACAAAAGCTAACTACTGGTTTTAACACAATCTATTTTTTTAACTTGCCGGCATACTATTCGATTTTTCAAGCCATGCTAACCAAGACGATGCACGTGTTTACATTGTTTGGTATCGCTGATTGCCAATCAGGTTTGCCAAATAACAAATACCGATACTTTTATGCTTCTTAGTACAAATGAATCTTCGAGGAAATTCAATTTAGGGATGTCAAAGTAGAGGGTTCAGTCTTTAAAAAAATAACAGAAACATTTCATCGATTTTTATCGCAAAGTTACAATAGTCCAAAAATTGACATTCAAACCAAGTGTTCTGATACCTACTTGTGAGCGGTAGTGTATACTTAAAGTAGACAAAATTAAAATACCAGTTACACAGGGTGTTCGACCACCTCTGGGGAAAATTTTAATGGGAGACTCTAGAGGCCAAAATAAGACGAAAATCAAGGGTACTAATTTGTTGATTAAGGCTTCATTAAACAGTTCTAGAAACATTTCCGGCCACACAGTATATTTTCGGTAAAGAATTTTTTTCTCGAAAATACGTAGGATTTCGGGGGTATGTGTATTCACCAAAAATGATTGTAATTGACACCCGCAACCGAAAATAATTTTCCCACAAAAAGAAAAAGAAAAAAAAGTTGTCTAATACTTTTTTGTAGGTACCCATGAGCTCTACTTCAGAAAAAAGTTTCATTGGAATATATTCACTATTGCAGGAGTTATGGCTGTTTGAAAATTGGATCATTTTTATGGGGTTATCCTCACTTTACGGGGTCAAGGAACAACTTTTTCAACATTTTTAGAATTTCTACATATTCTCCATTAAAATACGCGTTGTTTGCATTTTAAAACTTTAAAATCGTCCAATCCGTTCAGGAGTTATGATGTTTCAAAGATCGCATGAAATTTCGGAGAATCATTTCTGGCCAGAAATTATATTTTCGGTAAGGAATTTTTTTCTTGAAACTGAGTAGGAATTCAGGGGTATGTTTATTGACCAAAAATGATTGTAATTGACCTCTGCAATTAAAAATAATTTTTTTAGAACGATTTGAAATTTTTCAATTTTGTCGAAAAAATTTCACACCTACTTGAATTTTTTTCTCAAAAATGGGTAGGATTTCGAGGGTATGTCTAATCACCAAAAATAATTGTAATTAACTCCCGGGACCGAAAATAATTTTTCTATAACGATTTGAAATTTTTTAATTTAATTTTTTAATAACTTCTTAATAAAGCCTCAATCAACAAATTGATATTTTTGATTTTCGTCTTATTTTGGCCTCTAGAATCCTCCATTAAAATTTTTCCCAGGGGTGGCCGAACACCCTGTATAACATCGCAAAATAAAATGTGCGAAATTTCGTTTACATTTACTTTTACTGTAAAAACATTTAAGTCATAATTTGTTAGAAATTAAATTTAAATCTTTTTTGTTCTATGCACATTTTCAATGCATGTAAGCAAATAAAATATTGTCGGTAAAAATGATTTCAACGCAGGCGAAGTTTCGAGTAGTGGCTATTTCACAATATTTATCCAAGAGGTACTAGAATAAGGCAACAATTTTCCATATAGTCTTTAACAAATTATTAAATTTTAAAATAACACGTGGAAGAATCGAATGGCGTATAATTTAGAAATGTACAGACGTAAGACTAACATTTTGTCCGATAAATTCGAAATCTGTTAGATCGAGAGTTTACTGTGCCTATTATCAATTATTTTTATCGAATGAATTTGTACTGTTCAAAAATATAGCATTTTTTATTAAAAAAAAAACACGTTAACTGTAAATGGATTACTATTTATCTGCTTAGAACGACGAGTAACCAACGGTATCTTATCAATGTGTTCTTATCAGGGACAGCCGACTTGATACAAGACAACCGATTTCAGTTCTCAGTGTATAGTTTTACGTTTACTAGATCTCCCAAGGCATCATGGATCATCTACTAGTATTTATTTTTTTATTCACGTTTACGTCGATCAAATGTGAAAGCATCTCCCCAAACGTTACCACGGAAAGTAATAATACGAATAGTGCAATTGTCGAGGATAAACAAACAAACGAAACAGTGACAGCTTTACCTCCTGTACCAAAGTTTCCAAACGTGTGTAACGTATGCAACTGTACAGGTATTGTGCAACTATTCGAACACGTAATAAACATCGATGACAAACTAAAAAGACAAGAATATGAAAATTAATCGTACAAAATAAATATACAAATAACAGAATTATTTTTGTGAATTTCTCTCGATAGAATTTTGTTTTTCGTACCAGGTGTTATTATAGATTGCAAGGGCAAAAACTTAACCGCTAATCTCGAAGATTCTCAATGGCCAAACACAACTATAAGCACGATATCGTTTGAAGGAAATCTCTTAGACCATGTAAAAGCTTTCCCAAAGATTGTGGTTAAAAAATTAATTCTGAAAGAAAATAAAATCACGAAACTCGACAGGGCCGCCTTCAAGCAATTAATTAATCTAACGGAATTAGATTTAAGTCATAACGAACTTACTTCTGAGAATTTGGTTCCCCACGCGTTTGAGGTAACTATAACGTTTGAGTCATGCTATATTATTAAGTAGGTATACTCGTAACGGTTATACTATATTAAAATTACAATAAAGAGAAGCAAAAATGTTGTATCATCACTACAATCTCAATTACTATCAAACACCTGACTAATTTATTACATGCTAGCCATTTTGTGCTGGAGTTATTGGAGAATTCAAAGCATTCTAATAAACTCTCTCAGTCGAGTAGAGTCTTTGTTCTCAAATATTTCGAGCCACACGAAATCTTTGTGTACTCCGTTTAATTAGAGTATCGAAACGGAATAAACCTAGATTCATTCTTTTCAAGTATTCGAACGACTTCATTCTGGGTATACAATAATTCCTGTAATCTTTTATTAGTCATAGTTATTATCTTGAAAATTCAATTTACGTTGATGTTTCTTCCGCGTCAAGATTAAAAACCGTTACGTATCGACCTTGTTACTATAATTTTTATATTATCTATCGGGTAAAATTTATGTTTATTTAAGTTTTTAATTATTTTACTATTACATTATTCGTTAAAAAAACGGGTAGAAAAATTTAAAGGCGTTCATGGCGGAACGATGAAAACGATTAGTTAATTCTCTAATTATTTTAAGGATCGTAGTGAATTCGTTCTTCTCTTTCAGATTCGATTACGATTCCGACTAAAATTCGTTCGTCTTTCAGGGTAAATTTTCATCGACCGCTTATGAACCATTGGAAAATCTGACAACATTATCTCTATCGTATAACAAACTTCATACGATCCATCAGGATCTCTTCGAACACATGTCGAACCTGAGAATACTAAATCTGTCTCACAATTTGTTCACGCATATCGACGTACGTACTTCCCTAGCGATCAGCTCTATACAACGATTAGAAGAATTGGACTTGAGTTACTGCGGTTTAAAGGAAATCGAAAACAGCCAGTTTCACACAACCACGTAAGACTTTAATCCTGTAAAATCACCTGTGAGTCACGAACCGATACGTTAAAGACTAAAGACTTTACCTCGACTTACGTCAGCTATTCTGGAACCAATTGGTACACAAGTTTGGGGTATGACTGTATTAGTATTCTGACTAAATCAAAATCGACTCTTAAATATCGAAGGTATAAGAATCAATGAATAATGTTATGGAACCATTTTATACGAAAGAAATAGTACAGATACTTTAAGATTTTGCGACTGATCAGTCCTTCTAAGTTTAAAATTGTGCACTTGAATATTCTCGATACCTTCGTTTCTCGAGGTTAACATCGTTTCGACTTTCTGCTCGAATCTGATATCGGAGTGCAAAGTGATGAAGCATCTATACATATAATATAACGGAAACTAAATCGATAGATCGGAATACGCTGATAAGAAGCACTGATATCGGAGCGGGTTAAGCACAGCCGTTTTTATGAGAACAAAAAGTCGTGTTAAATTTGACAAATAAGGTAAATATACTAATAACGGGTCAGCTTAAGACACCATTTCTTCTAAATTTTCTGCATACAACAAGTAGATTGCATTATTTTTTATTAAACAAATTTTTAGTGAGATATTTTTGCATTTATTGCATGGAAAACAAATGAAAATTATAATTCACCTCCAATCGTTATCGAGGAAAATACAAGAACTTATAAGTTTTTATGCTCAAATGAACTTGGCAAATAACTCGATAACAGAACGAGTGGTTAATTATTGGGCAAACAAAAATATAAAAAACAATTTGAATAATAAAATACTGTGCTTTCTAAGTTTGTAAATCATTTCCACTCGTGAGAAAGCCTAATATTGAATCGTAAGGAACCAAAGAAAACTCACTATACATATAACTGTGAAACAATTTTCTTAAATGTCCTAAAGCTGTACTTTATGCTTAATAATAGTTAATATTTGCATCAATGGCTAGGTATGAGACATTATTTGGTCTAGTCAGTTATTGGTACATTTACCTTACTAATTATTTTTGCTAAGAAGTCTTGTAGATATGTACATCGCTGACACGTTCGTTAAATATATGTTTGCGTAAAATCTTTAGATATCTAAAAAAATTGGACTTAAGCGGCAATCAGTTCACGATTCCTCCAGCTGCATTAAACGGGGCCGTGTCACTGGAGTACCTTTATATGGACGAAAATCCGATCAAAGTTATCGATCATCTGAACGCGTTCCCGTCTATGTCGAAACTGAAGGAACTGAGCCTTTGTTGCATGCCTCATTTAACAACGATCGAGGCGAACAGTTTCTCAGGCTTGGAGATGCTCGAACACCTCCGTGTATCAAATTGCCCGAAATTGGAAACAATCGAAGAATCCGCTCTAACGTTCCAGGTATTTATCATTTTCGTAATGAAAAGTCCCACTTTCAATGTAAAAGTTATTTTCGAACGAAGTCTACAAGCAAAAGTGGCAGGTTCAGTAGCCCTGAAGATGAATTTATTATACCTGTCTTTCATGATTGAGCAAAATTTTAAAACCTGAAAATACTGAGAATTTGTCCCCGAACGTGAAAAGGCGCGAAAGGTGTTTGGTATTAATTAAAACTGGCAAATAACAAAGGCACGCATCTTCGTTTAAATATTTTTCCTGGAATTTATTATCATGAGAGAAAAGGTATCGTCGTTCCCTTTTCGATGGAGACTCGCAAAGCGATAAATATGCTGGCGTTTAATAGAAAGAGGAGCGCCAGAAAAGTATTGTATTTGAAATGATCGTAGATGAAGGAGACCAAAGAGATCACATGGCCGCCACTGAAGAAACTAGATTTATCGGATAATGCCCTGGAATATTTGCCTCAGTACCTCCTGGTAAGGTGGGACTTGCTCGAAGAATTGGATTTGACGAAGAACAAGTGGAGCTGCGATTGCGATAATCAATATCTGGTAAGTTCTAGTAATAATGAAATACCACGTATGCGGTTATTTGAATGAGGAGGGGCGGGACACGGAAAAAGTATTATATCGAACCAGTCGATTCGATTTACGAGATGCACGCCAATATTGCGAATCTTCGACTACGGAGTTTGCTAAGTTTTAAAGTTTTAAAGTTTGGCCAAGTGTTCCATGGAGAACATGAAACTTCAAACATGTATTCGTGCGAAGGCGTGTGGATGGCAGTTTATTAGTATTTGCTTGCACAGTGAAAACATTTTTGACGATAGTTACATTATAAATATCACTATGTATTCTTTATTTAGATCTTCCAATGAACATTTAAATTGCTTGCAAGGAGACGTCGTTGATTTTATTCAAACCTTTTTTGGTAATTCTGGTACAAAAGTAAGCCGGCTCGGATACGAGGTTTATTGCCAATGTTCATTATTTGCAAGGATAGTTCAATTTTTAAATTTCTATGTACAACGTATTCTATAGGAAAGACACTGATAAGTAACTTCAGTGTGAGATTATATTAAGTATTTTGTTGAAACCGTATTTGCTGAGTTATATAAATTAAAAATCAAAAGCTTCGAGAAAGTATAGTAGTAAATTTATGTAAGAAAAAAATATGTTGAGGGTACCTGGGCACCCCGGTTATCAAACAAATATAAAACTTTCGGTTACCACCATAAGGGTTAAGTTGTCAACAAATGAGGATGGAGAGGAAGTATAATGATATTGTGAGAAAAGAATTTTTTAACAAGTCTTATGAATAGTGCAGGAAGGACAGAGAATCAGTTGATAACGACTATTTACAATCAATTAAACCAGATAATACCGTACCTCATCTATGATAGCAAATACCAACACAAGTAAAAATAATGACTAATGGATAGATCACGTTATTCACGTCATATTACTCAATCGTGTGCGTATCGGACGAATTTTTCAAATCAATTTTATCGAAAACGATGACTAATATAAAATGACGTTACTTCGTAAAGGGGGTTCCCGAAATCAGTGTTTCGATAACTCATTGTTCTTATTCGCATACAATTCTATTAAAGAAAGTGGAGCAAGCTCTTGTGTAAACGAAGATGCAAACTGATACAAGAAAAAGTTGAATCTCTCAATCAGGGATTATTTTTTAATGGTATTCTTGTTGTCTCCCATTTCTCTCTCTCTCCTTATCCCTGGAATTCTATTTTATTAATACCATAATGGAGTTTATTATGATATTACCCGCCACTGTTTAACAAGTGCTGTCCCTGTGTCCGCAGATTGGCGAACTGTTGCCAAAGTATGGGAAGAAATTATTGGGCGACAACATCGGTACACTTACCTGTGCATCACCGCCAGAGCATGCAGGGACGAATTTGTCGTCGTTGTCACACAGAACGCTTCGCTGTCCGGACCTTTACGGAGCAAGGCCCGAGAGGGACGCCATGATCCTCGTCGGAGTGATGATCGGTTTGATGCTCGCCATTCCCGTTTGCCTGGCAGTCTTCGTCTTTTGGCGTCGTGGATACTTTTTCTGCGGGACCCAAGGACCAGCGAGCTTCTCCCGCGCCTTCTACAAGAGAACTGCCAACGACGACGACATGTGACGTCTCCATTCTTGTCGATGAAATCTAGTCGATAAATAGGAACGAGTTAGACGAGCTGACTAACACCACCCCCAAGCTGGTGTTTTGCAAAAGTTATAAACATTAATTCGTAGTGGATCATTATTCAGAGTGTTCGTTAAGGGCTCAGAATCACAAACGTCGTACGATAAAAAATTTCAGCGAAGATACGATTATTTAAGAGTATTATGATTGCACGGTAAGTTATGAATTTTTTAATGTTATCTAGACTATAATTAGTTGAACAAAATATGGTTACATCGGTGACGTTATTTATGTTAGTCGTATATCATGAAATATTAACTTTCTGTCGAATTTGTATCATGTATTTAATCATCAAGTAATATATGTATTTTTATAATAAAATGTAAACGCTTCTTTTGAGGCATTCACGATTTAATCTTACTCTTTCTATTTATCATTTTTAATCGTACTTTTTGCATTGCATATTTTAATAAACACAATGTGATTTCAACTACGTGTTGCATTTTATTTTGATTAATTCAATGAAAAATTGTGTCTCCAAAGGTATTATTTAGTTTCACTGAAGACATCTTTTACATTATGGACCAGAATTTGACAGTCCATTGTCGTTTACTTCCATTTTGTACCACGTTCTGATAAATCGTTAACTATTTTCGTTTCCTTAAAAGTACTTGATGTATTTTGTAGTCACTTGACGTGACATTTTCAGTTTATAAATTTTAACATTCAACTAATGAAGTATATTTACTAAACTGAAGCATTTTACATAATATGATACACATAATGAGAGATGGGTTTTGATGAAAGGAGAGAATCTTCAGTTTCTGTTGTCTTAGAACAGTCTACTAACGCGTATTAAAAATAATTAAACTTTACACGAGTACAGTTCCGAAACTGCTAGTGTTTTATTAATAATTGAGCCACTGTTGGCAGCGGTGAAGCTTCCCCTTTGAAATGGTTTTTGGTTTTTGTCGATCCGACTTTTCGTTTTCGAGATATCGTAATTTATATGAAAGGGTATTTTTTAAATTTCGCCAACTCTCTCTCTCTGTCTAACGCGTCGGAATTCTTTTTCTCGCACGTGAGTCGTGACAATCGTGACACAGTAACGTAGTGTCTACTACTTACTACGATCACGTGCGGTCAACGACCTCGCGACGTAAACAATGAGACGTAAACAAACCCTTTGAATCCTCATATCTCCGGAACTAACCACGCCATCGATTTGAAACAAAAATCGTTATATCTCCGGAACTAATTATGCTATCCAGTTAAATGAACACTCATTTTAAAGGGTGTTTCATCCTCCATTCTACGAATGTAACAACTGTTCCAATTTATGCTGCCTTCTATATTTATTTTCGTATTTACTTTGACACTTTACATCCAAAGAAGTTTCAACAATTCCTATCGACTATGCGACTGATGTGCGCTAAAACTGGATTATAAATTGTTTATTTAATTGAAAATGAATTTCAATTTGAATACAACAAAAGAGAAAAAGAGAAACTGGTCATTGGACGGGTCATGGTAGGAATAACTTCCAAGTTACTTCATTTTTTACTTAGCACTATAGTTTTTTAAAGAGAATAAAAAATGCATTAATTGACGAAAAAAATACAACTTCATTAGTTCAGCTAACCTTAATCTCTTATTGAATAAACTGTATGTTTCTAAGTTTCGCTATTGCTATTTATTATCACATTATTTCTGTTGAACTTTTGTTAGAAACGTTCGTTTACAACTTTAATGAAAATTCCGGAGAAATCATAGCGAACGCACACTGCGAGTCAAGGAGATTTATAGCACATTTTTTGGCAAGTCTTACCGCAAAAATTATCGAGGTTTGAGGAGTATTTTATTAAAATTTAATCAAAGAAAAACAGGAGAAAAGAATCAAAACAATGACTGATCGAAATACATACTTCTCTGCACATAATAAAAAAGCAATTATCTCATTACCTCTTGGTTATCTCTAAGGGTTGTAAAACAAGTCTATACATTGTATCTTTAGCAACAGGAAAGACGATTTTTCAATTCTTGTCGATAGGAGAATCGTGGCAATGTTTGCTGTCGATTATCATCGAGGAGATCCCAACAATCATGCTCATTTTTCGTCTAACAAGTCTCGAGAGAGTTTGTTTAGCCCCGCTGTCGTCGGGAAGCGATTTCTGAAACACTGGAGGGATAGTTTCGGCAGCGTTGAGCTTGCGGACGGATTTCTGGCTTTACCGTCGACATCGAGGGTTGCCGTGGATTGTAGACCACCATCGAGGGAACGACGGGACGGATGAATGGACACGCGTCGGTAACACAATTACCGGGACGTTAATTTACTCAATAATCGCGGAAGCAACCCCGTCTAAATGCCGGCACGCGCCTCTTCGCCCTTCTGCCGTCACCGAAGTAGAGGACCTCTAATACAAGGGATGAATACGGGTCCAGCTTTACGGATGATTGCGTCATCATACGTGAGTTTTGCTAAACAGATTGCGACATCGTCTGGAATGATACTCGTCCTATCTTCCGTACGAATTGCAATTTTTTAAGGGGACCAGGCAGTCAGAGAATTTATTTTTATTTTTCTTTATTTATTATTTATTATTTTTAAATGCCAAAGTTTCATGACCGTTGCGGTGAAAAGTAAGGATTTGGGAGGTGAAAATGTCGAGGAAGTCAGAGGTGTCGGAACAGTTAGTCAAGCAGCGGACAAAGCAAAGGCACAAAATAATTTGGACAGCTATAAACATAAACCAGCACTTCCCGATGATGTTTTTAAAGTAATTTTACCCATTTGTGATGACTCGAGCAATGAATAGCTACTTGAGCTATGCACAGAATGCAAATGAAAGCTTTAATAATTTAGTTAGGAAAATTGCTCCAAAAATTGCAGCCTATTTATCGATATGTATCCTCAATAATGACGCAAAATCATTATTACAATTTTTGCAAAATTTCTCCAACCCAGAAGTCAATTTGCAACAGTTTCTCATCAAGCATTCAATTTATAAAATCACAGCTAAAGTACGTCAAAAGTTTGGAATAAATCATTTAATATAATATTGAATATTAAAATACAAAATATTTAATAGAACATTAATTTTGTAGTTTCGTGTAAATTTTACTATCGTTCGAGAATGGAAAATATGATACGAAATTTTAGGTGTCAGAAGTCCAAAGCGTAACAATGATTTTCTAGAATGTAACTCTGAATATTGCACCTGCGACAAACTACAAATAAATTTTAAAACTAAAATTGTTTCTATGTCGTAATTTTTGTACTCGATCGAATCATAAGAGAAAATAACCTCAACTACTTAGTTTTTTAATTTCATGAAATGAAAGTAAATTGGAATAACGCCTATTCCAAATTACCCGGACTTTATTTCATTTTTCACTTGGACCAAAGTTTTCTCCAATGTTCACCGTATATGCTCGAACCGATCTACGGCATAAATGCTCGGTGTTCATCCCCACCACTGAGGGTAGATTCCCCTCCAGCCGAGAAATACCTCCCTCTCTGTTACTCGCTGTCCTTTTCCACGTTCGACAGCCGACTCGTGCTGTTTCTATAATTAAAATCGATCCATTTGCTCCATAAACGCATTGAAGTCCCGATTTTCACGCGCATATCCAATTTTCACTGTATATGTATATTTTCCGCCAGTGGCAATTAGAGACTACAGACGCGACGCGCCATCGGGAAGAAAATTGTACCGACGTCTAGGAAAACAGTTTCGCGATACCGTAATAATTTCGTCGGAAGGTAAAGCCTACACGTGTGTAGACGGTATGGATACATAGACGCGCATCGATACGTCCATTTTGAACGTGCTGTATACACCGCCCGATAAGTAATCTAATCCGGCGCTCCTGCTCCTCCTGATCCGCATTCTCTACCCCTTCAAGATTCGATACAGATGTATTGACTTGCGAAGAGCTTTCGCGTACTTCGACGAAGGATCAATACTGACGAGGTAAAAGAAAAAGCCTTCGTTACTTTCTGCGAAACAACAAACAGAAACGTAGGAACGAAACACTTTGCTTTTCGAACGCGAATTTTATTGTTTTTCGCCGTAACCGTCCAAAATAAACGATGGAAATAATGAGAGTAATTGTGCTGGAATTGGGATATAATTGTAGAAAATATTACGCGAATGCGTTGTAATAGTATCCGTTATAAGAGAAATTAAATGTAACAATTCCAAGAGAGGAATGGACGTCGATAACGAACGATTTTTCTGGTTCGTTATCCAGTGTAATGAAATTAGGCAGGCATATTAGATGCCAGACGAGGTTTTCGTTCAGAGGATTGTAGATTTAATTTTTCTATTTTCAGATTTAAATTTGTTCTAGCGAGTATACAGGTTCTAATTTTAATTTACAATATTTTCGGTATTATTTTGTACCCTTCACTAGATATATTTCGAATACTATTTCCTTAATACTTGGAAACTGTAGAACTATTTTTGTGAATGCACTGCATGGTTTGCAGAGTTTTCTGGGATTTTATTTTTATTTTGTGCTTTTTTATAACGAAACAACGAGAATGATACAGCTTCCTACTTTTACTATTTGCCAACGTACGAGACTCAACAGGAAAGTGTAAATAATGCGTAATCCAATTTATTTCATCCCCTGAAGGAAAAAGTTACCAGCCTTGAAATCTACCCGATTTTATAGCTTTTACTTCTTCTATTGTGTAACACGACGCAAGAGAATAGTGTAAACTAATGCGTAATCCAATTATCTTTTTTTCATCTCTTAAATTTCGCCCTCAACGCAAAACTCCACAAAACGTCGATTTCTCTTTAAAAATAGAAAATTCAAGTTCCCCTCAGGATATAGTATTTACTGCACTATTATTATTAATTACCAATTCTATAATGTTGGGCTACTTCGCGATGTAGAAAGCGCTACTAACTATTCGTTTGCAATTTTTCGATTTTACTATTGGTAAAAATACACAACGCGTCAGAAAAATTTCTTTCATCCCGTGAATCTCGTTTACGACATAAGACTCTATAAAAAACCGATTTTCTTTAAACAAAAGAAATAGATAGGTGGTTTTTAAAACGTACAAAAATGTCCATAAATAGCTATACCGATACCTTGGCTGCAAAGGGCAATCAAATTACAATTTAGTCTTCTATTATCCATTAATATCAGTTCGATAATGTATGAGTACTTCAATGTAAAAAGGTAACAGCCTTAAAAATTTCTAATACCTGCAACTACCAAAATACCTACAATTTATTTATCTATTATCCTTTTCTACCATTTTTACTGCCTATGACTACTTAATCGTGAAAAGCGTTAAAATTCTCTAAAAATCTTCATTTATCAGAAATAGTTTCCTATTTTTACCACCCAACATATTCAACGTAACTGAACAATGTAAAATAGTGGATAGCTCTTATTTTTTTCATCTTTAAATAAAATTCTCATTAAATGATCCTATGAAAAGTTGTATTCCTTTCAAAAACAAAATAAAAAAATGAATTATGCTCAGAATCTAGACTTCTAATTATTATTAAGTATTTTCAGTCCTATAATCTAAAGGTATTACAATGTGGAGCAAGTTAATACAGTCAAATTATCTGGACATTAGATATTTGTATAAATGTATAAATCAAATAGAAAAATATCTGTGAATTTGTTACTTTCATGCTCATTGCTATGTAAAATATGGCTATGTTCACTGACCTTAATAGCATTCATTCTACTGTTTATGTTTCTATAAATACGAATTCAATATTTCTATCAACAAATAGATCAGTCTGATGATGCCATATAATAATACTAATCATTAGATTTTTTATTGAACTGTTCAAAGATACTACATTTTATTGCAATAACATATTTATATAATCACAGCTTGAGGGGCAAGTAAATATATTTCCTATGGGTCATATTGATACAGTGTAACATTTTATACTACTTTACAGTACTACCAAAAAAAGAACATCCTCGATGATTTTCACGTATAAAAGTAGAAAGAGCATGAAAAAAATTGTGTAAATCTCTGATGCAAAAGATGGGAAGGGAAAATAAAAATCACAAAGAAAGAGAAGAATACAAATCAAAAGTCAACGAGAAGAATTAATAACAAATATGTCGATGGATTCAGTGCATGTTTGTAAGAAGTGGGATCAATTAAAATGTGGCTAAGATATTTCAAACTATGCATTCAAATTTAGATAGCAATTAATTATCCTACTATTTAAATTTAGGTTTCAATTCAAGTTCGAATAAAAATGTTTTGCTTATGTACCTACATGTATTGCTACACTGAGACTTCATCACCAAAATATTTTCAAATTTATGTTACAATGCATTTTCATTAATTTTTCTTGTTTAAAGATAAAGGGTTAAAATATGCTTAAAAATACTTTTTATTTTATTTATCGAACAGAATTTGTAAAATTTGATAACCGAAAAACGTTCAACTTGTCCCCATTTTTTCTACACATTTACAGCTTCGTAGCTATCTCTAAAAATATGCGATGCAAGAAAATATAGTGTGAAAAATAATGTACGGTCCGATTATGGCAATTACCATAAATTTCGTTCGCGGCTGCGGATTCCACGAAAAATCGATTTCTCGGGAGAAAAAGAAACGAAAAAAAGGAATAAATTGGGTTTAGAACGGAAAGAAATACCAGCGAATCGTTACACTGACGGCGAGGCAGGACGAAAACGAAATACAATTTAAGCGGTAGGAAACGCTACCTCAGAAGTGCACGCGTGAACGCCGTTATCGTGCAGTCAATGTGAATGCGCAACAACATGGGCAGCCACGGATATAGGATCCTCTTCTCCTTCCCCTAACAGCCCTCCCTTTCGATCCGAGGGGGCGCAAGGGTGAGATTCGCGAACCCCCAACGGCGTGTCCATGGAAACGGCGGCCGTGGTACCGCCCCGTTGGCGCAACTGGGCCAACCGTTGCGACGACGAGCGTCGCGACGCCGACCAATACCGACGGGTGTCGAGCCTTGAACATCCGGTCCGTGGTTTACTCTCTTCTTGGCCAGTTAGAGCAGGTGAGGGTGGAGATGATCGCGAGCGGGGGGTTGAATCGCCTTGAATCGCGCACCGATACTCCCTAAACGTCGCCGAACGACGCCACCCGGTCACTTTTGCCCGCGGACTTTCTCGCTCGGCCCGGATCGCCTTCTTCCAGGCTGGTCTCGATTTAATTGGAATTTCGCGAGATCCCCGCGAACCCCCGTTACATCTAATTCTCTTCGTACGACCCATCGACGCGATCCCATCAACGGTTTTTGCGGTATTGTGCGCGTCGGATCAACCATCGTTGGCCAGACACCTTCAACGTCGGTGATTACTCTCTTTCGTATCATGTGCGTACGTTCATTCGATCGAAGTCTCGTAATTAAACGGAACACATGTCGAAAGGCCCTGGTTGGAATGACTTTTTCGACGATCGTTCCGTCAAGACGCTTCCGGTAGTCGAATCGGTGTGTGCTCGGTGAACGCAGTGCCCAAGGATTTCTATAGAAGAGTTTGGTTTCTTTTCTACGATGTCACGCTGGCGACCAGAGGATACGTTGGCTCGCGATGCATCCCAATTATAAACTCACGGGTTGCGACTGTATAAAATTCAGGTGGAAACGTAGAACATGTGATAGTTCCAAGTCAATTCTTTCGAAGATCCGTTGAACGTTTCTCCAAGATTCTCCTTCGTATTCTGCAGCGATGATCCACGGAACCGTCTCCTCTTGACATTTTTCCTCGTCGAAGGATAATTGGAAAGTGATCGAAGAATTGGTTCAAAAATCTATTTGAAGTTTTTGAAAATCTACGTGGTGTATGTGATGCCTTCGATCGAATTTAACGAATGAAAATCGAATCACGTGTTGAAATCAGTGGCGAGTCAAAGTTGAGTGGATGTTCGTCGTTGAGAATGTAAGGAGAATCGAGAGTCAAAGTTCGAGCAAACACTGGGTCAAAGATGCAGTCGACTTGCCAGCAGCAGCAGGCTCAGCCAGGTCAGAACGGAACATCGGCCAACAGGACTTCGTTTCTGATCGAGGATATCTTGAGCCGCGGTACCGTTCCCCCGCATTCCCATCATCAGCTTCATCATCAGCATTTGACGTCGAATCACGGGGTGCAGCATCAACACTACCAGCAATTTGCCAGTTTACTGCCCGGTTATCCTTCAGCGCCACCCACCGCGGCATTCTTTTTGGGACCACTGTTCGGTAACACCGCAATGGGGGTTGGTGTTGTACCGGGGGTTAGTGAACTCGCGGCCTTGAAGCACTGCCGTCGACGAAAGGCACGAACAGTGAGTGAAATCTATCGTTTCTAAATGATCTACTCAACGTTTTTGTTCATCGCTACACTCACGCGTATATTACTCGTTCATTGCACACACATATTTTGCGTATAGCGTGCTATTACTTTGCTCCACCGATTTTAGCTCCATTTTACATTTCTTTACTTTTATAACACAAAATATATCCATTTTACATTTGTACTTTTATAACACGAACGTACAGAAGAGTCAAAAAGACTTATTTGAAATCGTACTAAAACAGTTGAGAATACAAATTTTTAAATATTTAAAATTTTTGTAATTCATAGTTTAGTATTTCCTTAATTCTGCAATAGTGAAAGAATATGATAAAAGTGATAATCATTGTCAATATCATCGTCTTCGTCCGAATCAGTACCGTCGTCGTCTGTTTCCGCAGCAATTGCGCGACGAATTTCCTCTTCACTTAATTCTTTACTTTGTCTTGAAGTCATTGGACTAAAAAAGACTATAATTATAAAACAAGACGCTTCCACAAATTCCCCAAAAAATTTTATCTGAAAAATGTTACAGTACTATGAAATTATAATCAGGAGCCCAAAACACTCTTGTATACGTTTGTGTTATTTTTATAGTTTTTTCTGAATGTGTCATAGTACTATAAAATTATATACAAGCGTCTAAAAGACTTTTGTATGCATTTGTGTTATTTCTATAGTTTTTTTTGAATATTTTTTATTCGAGAAATAGTAAATTATTTTAAAATTTATTTTTAAACACCTTATCTTCAAAACCTGCAAAAAGAATAATTCTGCAAAACTATTTTTTCTACTACTTTTATCGCTATAAAAAGAAAAGTAGTCAAAAAGTCTCTACTATACTGTTAAAGGTTAAACCTCTATGAGGCGAATTTTTTTCTTAAATATAAACTTGCAAAGCATTTACTTTGATATTTCAGGTTGATGGTGCTCTCCCAACCGTCATCAATATTGTTGTTTGTTATCTCAGAGACATTGTATAATTGTGACGTATACGTCGTTTTGTGAAAAAATTATTTAGTAAAATGTCGATATATTAGTGTGTGACTTGATAGTTACATGGGTCCATAGAGGGTTAACTTTCGTAATCCTCATTCTACAAAAGTGATTTTCAGTGTGTTTTCATAAAATGGTATAAAATAGTGCAATATATAACATACATATAATTATTATTTTGTTCCACTGATTTCAGCTCTATTTTATATTTATTTCCTTAACTTTCGTAAAGCTCATTTCACGAAAATGATTTTCGGTGTATTTCATAAAATGGGACGTGCAATATATGTATATTTTGTGTAAACATATTGAAAATCATTTTCGTAAAATGAGCTTCACGAAAGAATATAAAATGGAGCTAAAATCAGTGGAGCAAAATAATAGCACGCTATGCGCAGTGAATAAATAATTTATTAATATTGTGTAATTCCACCTTTCTTTCGTAGGATTTCGACTAAACATTTCGTCGTTGGCAATTTCTAATTTTAATTTTTATATTATTCGAACATGTTTCTTTTCTTCATAAACGCGTTTAGATAAATAAGTTTATTTTCAATAATGTTTTAAAAAACATTTTATATTTCTTGCAGAAAAATAATTTTATACACATAGGAGCGTGAATGGTCGTATTATCGCGTTGAAAAATAAAATCTCCTTAAGTAATTCTAGCGATATGTTGCTCTAATTGTTTGTCTATTAATTCTATATATTTTTTGCTATTCATAGGACCTGTTAAGAAATTTAAATTCACCTTGTCGTGATATCCTGTTCGAACCATATCATTACGCTTCCTCCCCCCCTCTCCCTCCACATTTGTTGACGGCTTAACCCTTCTGTTGGTAACTGAAAGTGTTATACTTGTTTGGTAACCACTTACCATAATAAAAATATTCTTTCCATAGGTCGAATATACAATTTTACTTCCATACTTTCTGGAAACTTTTGATTTTAAAATTGGTCCATGTTGACATTTAATTAAAACATCTAATTAATCTATTATGTCTATTATACAGGGTGTTCGGCCACCTCTAGCAAAAATTTTAATGAGCGATAGTAGAGGCCAAAATAAGACGAAAATCAAGAATACTAATTTGTTGATGGAAGCTTCGTTAAAAAGTTATTAACAATTAAATTCAAAAATTTCAAATCGTTCTGGAAAAATTATTTTCGGTTGCGGAGGTCAACTACAATCATTTTTGGTGAGTACACATACCTCCGAAATCCTATCTACTTTCGAGAAAAAAAATCGAGTAGGTGCTGAAATTTTTCGGCGAAAAAAAATTTTTCAAATTGTTTTAAAAAAATTATTTTCGGTTGCGGGGATCAATTACAATCATTTTTTATCATTACACATACCTCCGAAATCGTACGCACTTTCGAGAAAAAAATTCCTTACTGAAAATCCAATTAGGTGCCTAAATTTTTCAACGGAGAAAAAAAATTGCAAATCGCTGTGGAAAAATTATTTTCGGTTGCGGGGGTCAATTACAATCAGTTTTTGTCATTAGACATACCCACGAAATCCTGCCCACTTTCGAGAAAAAAAATAGAGAAGGTGTGAAATTATTCGAGAAAATTAAAAAATTGCAAATCGTTGTGGAAAAATTATTTTCGGTTGTAGGGTTCAATTACAGTCATTTTTGGTGAATAGACATACCCCCGAAATCTTGCGCATTTTCGAGAAAAAAATTCAGTAAGAGCGGCACTTTAAACGTTAATAACTTTTTAACGAAGCTTCCACCAACAAATTAGTATTCTTGATTTTTGTCTTATTTTGGCCTCTACTATCGCTCATTAAAATTTTTGCTAGAGGTGGCCGAACACCCTGTATACAGAGTGTTACAATTTTTTCCCGCAGAACTTTAGCAACGTATTGTGCAAGCAAAGTTAAGACAAAAATTGTACATAAATATAGGCTCTTAACATTAATCACAGGATTAAATCAGATTTCAAAATTATAAATAATAGGTTTATGATTTCAGAGTAACACGAGTTTATCAAATACAAATGTGATTATCTTCAAAAGTGTTAATCATTTAATTTTAATAAATACTATGATATCCTAGTTTAAATGTTAGTTGGTTATTAGACTTGTATCTTTAATCATTTTTGACAAACTGATCTTTATATTCTATAAGTGTGACTCGAAATGTAGAAAATTAAACACTGTTTACACTCTGCTTACGACGGTCGCGGAGTAAATGTCGATCCAATGGGTTAAACTAAGTTATTTATTTATGTATTTTACGGCAGGATTCACTAATATACGTATACTGCATAATTTCGAATAACAAATAAAAGATATAACATTTTTCATCTGTTGTTTATTCGATACAAATTTGAATTCAAATAATGAAACGAAATTGTATTTTATTTTGCATGATTAGAAACTTATTTGACAAGGAATTACTGTAACATGTTTTCATTTATCTATTATTTGAATACGATTTTGCTATAATGCAGTAATGAATAATTGAGCTAAGATAAAATGTATGCTTGCACCATTAACAACCTCAAAAAATATATCACAGTACGAGTCAGCATTGTTATAAATGAGATTTATTACTAAAATTGCAAATAAATTAAATTCTAGATTTTTAATTGTATTTGTCGTTTCAACATCGTTCAGAAATTGAATTTAAAAGTCTAGCAGATCCCATAATATCCTAAAGTATAAATTTCTTTTCTTCCTACTTCCTTCAATTACTTTTCGACGCTATTTCCCCCTATTAAGTCAGAAACTAGTGAATTAAATTAAATTCGATTCGCTTCTAGTTTGTAAACTTTCCGATCAAAAAATGCGTATTTTTGCAGAAGAATAATATATAAAACCCTTTTCACTTGATATTGGAATCGACCATAGCTAGAATTTTATTCGAACAAAAAATTACGAGGGAAAACTTTGCCTAGCGATATCTTTACGAGTTACTTTAATTTGCAGATTATTAATTTGATCGAACAACTAACAGACCATAATTTGGTCATCTTTAATTCGTTACTCTATATTTGTTTACCCAGATGAGAATTTTACTTATCTCCAGATACAGGGAACCGTGTTTTTACGTATCGAATAATTTTTTCAATAGGAATATTTTGTGGATCGTCATTAAAATTCTACGTGTTTATAGTTACTCTTTCTATCGTATTTAGGTGTTCAGTGATCAACAATTAGCGGGTTTGGAAGCCAGATTCGAGGTGCAAAGGTACCTCAGTACGCCGGAAAGGGTCGAGCTTGCGGCGGCTCTTCACCTCTCGGAGACCCAAGTGAAAACGTGGTTTCAAAACCGGCGAATGAAGCACAAGAAACAATTGAGAAAATTGAGCACCAGCGCGGGAAGCAACAGCAATCAGAATTCCAATCAGCAATGCACCGGCCAATCCGTTCCCGTCACATCACCCGCCGGTGCGTAAGGCATTCTTTTTTTTATTTTTACTCGCTAAAGGATTAAAAAGCGTTATTGTCATGGAAATTTTCGAATAAAACTAGTTTTCGTTATCGGTACTGTTGCACAAACTCGAAACGTTGGTTTGCGGCTACTTAAGACGAACGCGTCATTACAAAACAGACTGTTTCGAATTTTCACCCAATTTCCCGATCCACTTACGAGAATCTTAATCCTCCGCAGCGTGAAAGGATTATTTTTATTAAAAATTTAGTTAAAAAATAGCAACCCTAGCGGCTTCGAAGATTCAATTTATAGTTTAGTTTTAATATTGATACAATCATGGCCGTGTAAAAATAATTTCTTCTAATAAATTTGAAAAAGTAAAATCGAAGTAAATACAATGAATTCGAAACGTCGACAGAAATTCTAAAAATTTATGATTATGTTACAGCACGAAACAGAACTGAATAACCAAAGAAAAGATAATAAAAATAGACTTTATTTCGTTGTTGTTTTTTTATGTTCGATCGTTTAAGGCTCCAAAAAGTGTTTTAAACAAATCTTAGATAGAATTAATTTTTACAAGTAAAAGTGATATTTTTCTCTATCTTTTCTGACAAAGATAAAATGAAATGCTATTCGTTGCATGTTTCAATCCCATTAATCATTATTATTGTTTTGCGTAAATAACTACTATTTTCGGATAAAATAATACAAGAATATCGTAAAGTATTCGTGTCTATTGAAAAAAATAAAATGCCTAGTTTTCAATGACAGATTCGAATAAAATAACGATGCTTTAAAATTAATATTTTGCAGCTGTCGAAGTCTCCCAATAAAAATAAGTTTATTTTGTTTTTTGGTTGCGTAGAAATAGAGAAATAATATTATTAAACACTATTAAACAAAAAGATGTATTATACGCACTGATTAGATTTTGAGCAAATAGGTTTGGGTTAGGTTAGGCTCTATTATATTCTTTTTGTTTCTCTGATATACATTCGTTATTTGTATTCTAAAAAGTGTTTTAAACAAATCTTAGATAGAATTAACTTTTACAAGTAGAAATTATATTCTTTTCTATCTTTTCTGACAAAGATAAAATGAAATCCTATTCGTTGTATATTTCAACCAGATTAATCATTATTATTGTTTTGTGTAAATAACTACTATCTTCAGATAAAATAATACAAGAATATCGTTAATTTTGTTAAAAGTGTTTACACACGATGCTAAAACAATATTGATATTACAACACGAAACAGAACTGAATAACCAAAGAAAAGATAATAAAAATAGACTTTATTTCATTGTTTCTTTTTTTAAGTTGAATCGTTTAAGTCGAATGATGAAGATTTTGTTAAAGTGTTTACAGAGGATGTTAGAACAACATCGATGGCGACAAGGAAAGGGACCGGAATTTCCTTTTAAGTTCCCAAGTAGAAAGCTTTCCGAATACACGAAGCACGCGATCACAATTTTCGAGGAAGCAGATAGTTGATAAAACGGAAGTTAGCCTCCTATTATAAACTCGATGACGCTTAAAATTTTCCTGCATCGCCTCGGTAATGCAAGCGTTTAATTGCGATTGCAGAACCTATGCAATTTCCTATCCGCGTCACAATGCGTAATTACCGCTAAACACGTGTATCGACTTTTCGATAAACAGTATATGGTCGCGCCCGCGCGCGTTGCTTCGCATCAATTAGCACGGATTAACAGCACGATCTGTCCTACATAATCAATTATTCATAAATCACATTTGTCATTCTGACGAGGAAAAAGTATGCGTATCGATGAGACGACGAATTTGGAAATAAAGGAGAAGCAAGTCGTTGCGACCCGTTTATTCGGGAATAATTTTACCGACTTTTCGGGAATTAACGCGTACCGATGTGTTCGATACTATTTTCGAGCAAATTTATTATTTCTACGCCACTGAAAAACCAAATAAACTTATTTTTATTAAGAGACTTCGAAACATTAATTTTAAAGCATCGTTAATCGTCATAGGAAACTATTTTATTTTTGTTTAAACAGAGATGAAGACGTTACGATATTCTTATATTATTTTATCTGAAGATAGTAGTTATTTACACAAAACAATAATAATGATTAATGTGATTTGTCAGAAAAGATAGAAAAGAATATAATTTCTACTTGTGAAAGTTAATCCTATCTAAGATTTGTTTAAAACACTTTTTAGAATACAAATAACGAATGTATATCAGAGAAACAAAAAATATATAATAGAGCCTAACCTAACCCAAACCTATTTGCTCAAAATCTAATCAGTGCGTATAACACATCTTTTTGTTTAATAGTGATTGACCAGTCTTAAAACGTACTCTAGTTCGTGTAAATGAATTTACTTAAATGTTTCTGTACAATGCTCGATAAGGTTTTTATGTGTTACAATATTCTTGACAACTCTGTTCTAGGAATCTAGTTTGTTCCCTTGATACTTGATATTTCTGTACCCAGTGAATTAGAAGTGATAATGAATGGGTATTCATACCAGGAAATGATAGACATGCATTTAATGTATGGACTTGTCGAATCTAATTTAACCGACGCAATACGTCTGCATTCAGATCGTTTCCTCGATTGACGTCTGTCGAATGAAAAAACATTTCAAAAATTGCACGAACGCCTTTCGTTTCGAAATGGGTGCGTTTAACAATCACTAGTCGAACGACTGTAGACTATGATAGGAACGTTAATTTATTTACTATCGAAGCTAGATTTATCAGGGATGGAATAATCAATTTTTCTATTTTTATTAAGTTACTAACGACAGCTGCAATACAATCAGTTATAAAGTAGATGTACCTTAATAATTTCGTGTTCACGACTTATTATTTTATTCAATTCTGTCTTAGAAAAATAGAAATTTTATTTTCTTTAAATAATATCTTTAAATCTCTATTAGGTTTTCACGGAAACAAAATTATAAATTATATTTAATTCTTCCTAAACGGTAATTTTTTTAATTTGACTGTCTCTGTCTCCGTCTAATTCATCTAACCTCTCTCTCGCACGTGAGTCGTGACTGTCGCGACCGAGTAAAGTAGTATTTGCAAGAATTTAGTACGCACTGTTTACTATTTACACACGCGGTCAATGACCTCGCTCCGATGTCAACGATGAAAAGTAAACAAACGCTTCGACCCTTATATCTCCGGAACTAATTACACTATCGAATTGAATGAACGCTCATTTTAAAGAGCATTTCATCCTCTATTATACGAACGTAACAACTGTTCTATTTTAGGCTGCCTTCTATGTTTATTTTCATATTAACTTTCACACTAAGCGTTGAAAGAAGTTTCCACGATTCTTATTGATTATACAACTGGTGTGCGATACAACTGCATTATAAATTGTTTATTTAATTGAAAATTAATGTGGATTTTTATACAGGATGTTTGCATGATTACTATGCCATTTTTTCGTAAATAATTGTTTTCTCCGGAATTAACTTCGGTATCGACTTGAAACAAAATTGGTTTTCACGGATGTTTTATCATCTATCTGATGAAAATAAAAAGATTTCGACGTGATTTATAAATTTTCTGTATGAAGTTTAAGTACTAAGTTTGTACATTTAGAGTAGAATTATTGAATACTTTTTGTACAAATTTTTAAAATGCATGTTTTAAGAAAAAATGGGGAAAAAGTATTTTACAAACAGTTGTGGTAATAAATTAAACAAAACGAAGATTGCGAAGATTATCGAACCAAAAATAAAATTTCAATCGTTTCCAAAATTCCAAAACTGAGGAGATCCATCGATCTGCTCATCAAATCCACCCTGTACTTGGCAAATGCATAAAGTCACGATCACGATTATTATGTTATAATTTTTATCATTTTTAGAATACATGTATAATTGTGTTACGAAAGTCATTTTTCACAATTAATTACTTTTCATTGCCTTTTATAATTGTCTGGATTATTTAAAAAAATTCAAAGTAACTAACATTTTCCTCGTTACATAACTCAGTTAAAAATATATTGAATTGGGGTGTGTAAAAGTTCTGAAAGCTTAAACTTGTTATGCAACGAATGAAAATCATTCTGTACGTAGAAAAAACATCAATGCGCTTTTTTTCAAAAGTCATTCTTAATCATACTCTGTTACACCATATAATTATTCCTCTTGTATTTACATTTAAAGATGAAAAGTATTTAAAAACGAAGTTAGTGCTGTAATTATGCAATGACTTTTTGGTTCGAAACTTTATCCCACACAAGTGAATAAATTTTCAGCATAAATGGTTAAAAGTCTCAACCTATTACACGGACTCCAAATGGAGTGATTCGTATAATTGGTGTGAATCACTGGACGAACACCAACGTGTATTATTAATCACCAGCTATTCAATTGACTTATTGCTTGTGAGCAGATAGTAAATTTTGAGGGGGAAATAAACAAAAAAAGTGGTTAATAGAATTTTTCGTAGGATTTCCCAAATTGGTCTATTTTTAACGATTTCTTTTGGCGCTTTTTAGACCAAATTACCCCCTCAACGAAAACCAAACTCATTGTTAATCATACTCTGTTACACCATATAATTAATCCTCTCGTATTTACATTTAAACATGAAAAGTATTTAAAAAGTGAATAACTTTTCAGCCCAAGTGGTTAAAAGTCTCAAACCATTAGACAGGCTTGAAATGGAGTGATTGGTATAATTGGTGTGAATCACTGGACGAACACCAACGTGTATTATTAATTACCAGCTATTCAATTGACTTATTGCTTGTGAGCAGATAGTAAATTTTGAGGGGGAAATAAACAAAAAAAGTGGTTGATAGAATTTTTCGTAGGATTTCCCAAATTGGTCTATTTTTAACGATTTCTCTTGGCGCTTTTTAGAACAAATTACACCCTCAACGAAAACCAAACTCATTGTTAATCATACTCTGTTACACCATATAATTAATCCTCTCGTATTTACATTTAAACATGAAAAGTATTTAAAAAGTGAATAACTTTTCAGCCCAAGTGGTT